CGGATGTAACGTTTAGGGAGTCATTATAAAATAATATCCTAAGAAACTATTCCATGGTGACGAATTCGCGGGTACAGATAGCGGTCAATAAACGTGTTATTTTTACTTCAAAGCTTACGATATCTAGGTCTTTAATAATCGTGAGTGTTCATAACCAAAGCATCTTTTTTTTAATTATTTAATTCCAAACAATAGTTCCTAAAATTGTTATTATAAACTTCATAGAGATTTCAAAAGGAAGGGTATCAATTCCTCTGTAATTTGTAGACGTTTTTCAATCATATTTATCTACTTTTAAAGAATTGTACTTCATATTTTTATAGAAAGTAATTTAAATAAAAATTTTCAAAGCACTTCGTGTACACGTAAATGATCCCTTAAATTTTTCCTGCGCAGAAACGCTTCCCCACACATTTCACATTTATAATTCTTCTCTCCCGTATGTATTACCATGTGACGTTTCAAAGTTTCTTTATTGCAGAATCTCTGCAGACATATTTTACACTGATGGTTCCTTTCCTGAAGATGCACAGATCTAGTATGACACACTAAATGATATCTAAGATTGAAACCACGGCCACATGTCTTGCATTTGTGCACGCGCGTCGACTGATTGTGGACATCTTGTAAATGTTTTGTCCGGCGATAATTCGAGTTAAATCTTTCCGGACACATTGGACATCTACGTGGGTACTGTTTCAAATGTACCCCTCTAATATGAAGTGACAATTTGTACGACGTGTTAAAGACTTTGCTACAACGATCGCAATGGAAGTTTCCACTCTCGTGAACTTCCAAATGTTTCTTTAGCAAACGCAACGTCATGAATCCTGATCCGCATATTTCACAGCTGTAATTATTAAAATGTACACTCATATGAATAACGAGAGTTCGAACTTTAATGAATTTTGATTCGCACATAACACATTTGTACCCCTCTTCGTCACCTTCTAGAACAAATGGGATTATATTATCTTTTAATTCGGGTTCTATTAATTTGTGATGCTCAACTTTTAAATGTAATTTGAGTTCCTGTAGGTCTTTGGGTTTGAGGGGACACAGTCTACAACTCATTTCGCTAACGTCCACTTTGATTACGTTCTCCCTGCGATTGTTAACCAAACGTTTAATCGGGGCGTATGTGTGCGTATCCTGCATATGGCGTCTTAAGAGAGAAGTTTCTAGAAACGGTTGCGAGCAAATGAAACATTTAAATTTATTATTTCCATAGACAAACGGATATACGGTAGAGAATTCGAATAAAGTTAGTGCGTTCTGTCGGATATCGACATTTTTCTGAGGTATTTGTTCTTGTAGCTGTAGAATATCTATTCTGTCGTGCTCAATTTGAGGCGAAGGTGCCATGTCCATGTATATAGGTGAAGGGCTTCGGGACGAGAGGTTCTCGCCGCTCAGCTGGGCCATCGCGAGCACCTTCTTAAAGTTTGTAACCGTGCCCAGCGGCCTACAGAGGCTACGGTCGTAATCCACTTGGAACAACGGCACGATCCTTTTTGTGGCTTGTATATCCGTACTGTCCGATCCTAAAAACAAACAAATCATATGAAGATGTCTCCTTTTCGGGCGTGTGCACAAAGATTTATCACTATAAAATAGTATTCATCTTTCGTATTCCAAAAGCGTGATAAAAATCCGTCATAAAATAAAACGAATTCCTAAGAAACCAAATTTAATGACCGATTCAAAAAAGTACATCAATATTATAACAGAGATTGTTTTACTTTCAAGAAATCCTTTACAACTAATGTTAATTCTCATTATTCGACTTTTTAATTATTGTAGACGTAAAAAGTGCTGTTTATTTAAATAACATATTCACCAGACCGACACCATTAGTATACCAATGAATAGAAAGAAATAAAGTTAAACATTTTACAAAGTACAATAGAGTGCATATTGGAATTAAAAATTCGCCCTAAAGTATGAAAGTTTAAACTTCGGACTTTATGAGTTATGTATTAAGTTAAGTAATATAGAATAATTTCATTTATAACTACAAGAAGAGACACGATCTTTCTCAGACATTTCATCTTGAAATGAAGCATCCATTTTCACAATATTCGGATGATGAACTTTAATGTGATGTTTCAGACTACAATTCTGAACGAAGGACCTGCCACATTCTCCGCATGCGTATCTCCTGTCATTATCATGTATCCGCATATGCTCTGTCAAAGTATATTTCCTTGCATATGCTTTCTTGCATACATTGCATTGATACTTTCTCTCCCCACCGTGCTTGATCATATGGAATTTCAACTCCGATTTGGAATAGAATTTCCAATCGCAAACTTCACACGTATACCTTTTCATTTTTAAATGCACCGTTCTAAAGTGTACCCTTAGTTTACCGCTTAAGTTAAACACTCTGGGACACAAATCGCATTTAAACTCTTTCAATGTCATTCCGTGGACGGATGAGATGTGTTTATTCCTTTGAAAGTAATTACGAAAACCTTCATGGCATTCTGGACATCTGTGTCTTTTGCATTTTTTATGAATATTAGCGATATGCTCTGTTCGAGCGGTATTCGAACGGAATACTTTATGACATTCCTCACATGGGAAAGAGCCATTGACATGGATTACAGAATGAGCACGTAATCTGTCCGGTGTTATGAAACCCGAGCCGCATTGTTCACAGATATAGTTCTGAAAATGAACGTTCATATGATGATTCAATGATTTGAAAGTTTCAAACTTTGTACTGCATAATATGCATACGAAGTTGTCCTTCGAGATTTTGAACGGCAAGATACCGTCATTTGAATTTATATACATATCATGTCTATCCATAAGGTGATATTTTAGACTGGGTATATCGTGCAAAATATGATTGCAAATTTTACAGCTGACATTCGTCAGTTCCACTTTGACAAATTCGTGTTTCTTTTGTTTTGACATCTCGTGTTCAATCTGTGCCAAAGATGGCGTCGAATGTTCGAGATTGTTATGTTCTCTCAGAGTGTCGGGATCTAAAAATTGCTGATCGCAATAGAAACAGATGAATAAATTTTTCATCCATCTAAAAGGACATAATTTAGCAGCTTCCAATATTAAAGTTGAGTTTTTCTTCCTCTCCTTTAGTATTTCTGGATTCAGTATTATGTTGCGTCTCTTTTTCTTTTGTTGTCCCGTATTACTCTTGTCCTTTTGGTCCTCACACGGAGATTCACTACCTATAAATGAGAAAATAATCGTGTCAACTTCAACCACAACAAATGAACACAAATCTTAGTTTATTTCAGTTATTTTTTATCTGGTAAAGGTTTTGTTGAACTAGAATATCTATATTTGAGCCTTTGCGTTCTACCTACGTTCAATGTCGAAAATATAGCTTCCCCGTGAACCTTTTCATAATTTTATATCATTGATTCGAAACGATCCGCTTTGAAACACTAAAGGTAAAGTTGGTATTAACATTTTAAATGTTAAAACCATAGAGTTTTGTGCTCCAACGTTCTAGAAAAAACAAGAATGTTCTCTCAAGGTTTAATGTAACGAGGATAATAAGAAATATGGCGCTTCATATACTGCTTTAATGAAAGCGTATATTTGATTTAAAAATAATAAAACAAATTTAACGTTAAATCTATTAATACACATTTATTTTATTAATAATAGAAAATAGATAAGACTTTAAATATTTATGCTTCGTATTAAAATCTCCTTGATGATGAAACGAGTCAATAATTTAAAATGCGTTAGATTTCGTTTGACTGGGATGATGTACTCTCATGTGCTGTTTTAAACTACAGTTCTGGATAAACGCCTGTCCGCAAACGGGACAAACAAAACGTCTGTCATTATTATGTATTCGCATATGTTCTCGCAATGTCTTCAAGCGGGCGTAGGATTTCTTGCAAACATCGCATTGGTATATCCTCTCTCCTCCGTGTTTGATAGAATGTTCTTGAAGTTCGTATTTAGTGAAAAACTTCATAAAACACAAAGAACACGAGTGATTACGCTCCTGGAGATGTTGAAAACGTATATGTGCAGTTCGTCGACTGCACAGATCAAAAACTCGAGGACATGAGGGACATGGGAATATTGCAGTCTTCTCTCCGTGAATAGTATTTAGATGTTTCAAACGATGCTTGTACGAGGCGAATTTTTCATCGCAAATCGGACACTTGTATCTCTTATTTGATCTATGTATCTTAGCTACGTGCGCGTAAAGAGACGCGTAAGACGGGAATGTATCCTGACAACGCTTGCATGGAAAGTCCCCTCTCTCGTGGGTTCTGGCGTGATTGACCATGCGTTGTGATGTCGCGAACCGTTTGCCGCAAGTTTCACATATAAAATGTTCGTAATGTTCATTCATATGTTTATGAAGACTTAAGAACATCTCGTATCGTTTACCACATATCTGGCACCGATGTTCGTCTTTAGTTAAATTGTATGGCAGTATACTATCACCATAGGAGCAGTCCAGATGTTTTCCATGTTCTCGTAAATGAGATTTGAGCATTTCGTAATCAGATATGGAGAAACCGCATAATTTGCATGTTGTGAGAGCGAAGTCCATTTTCAAAGGTTCGTATTTACGAGGTTTGAGGAGTTGTTTGACGTCGGAGTGTTGATGTCGGGTGTGTTCGCGCAGACGCTCTGGCTCCAAGAAGGAGGTTTTGCAGTAGAAGCACAGGTAAGTACCCTTCCTGTACTTGAACGGGCAGGCAGTGCACGATTCTATAATTATTTTAATGTTATTTCGGAACGCGGCACGCCGCTCGTTGCCCGCGTCCCGCCCTGTCACAATGACAGCCGCTCCTATATTTTCCATGTCAGATTCCACTTCGTTCTTTATCTGTATTTCTTCAGATTTTCTTCCTAAAAATAAGAAAACATCCCATATAAGCTCTTCCTTGCAATGTTGTTTTTTACCTTTAATATAATGCCTGTATAAAAATCATATTAAAATATGAAAGTTCTGTAAAAATCTTTTGGGTATTTCAAAGAAATAACGGATTAGCGAAGCGAAAAATGGATTAAAGATCTTTAGTTTCAGACACGGCCTTTGGATGGTGCGTTCTGATGTGGCTTTTCAAACTGCATTTCTGCACAAACGCACTGCTGCAGTACTCGCAAGTGAAGCGCCTATCGTTAATATGGATACGCATATGTTCGCGTAATGATTTTAACCGAGCGTAAGATTTCGAGCACACATCACACTGAAATTTCCTTGTTCCATCGTGTTTCACTGCGTGGTTTGTCATCAACGCCTTCGTCGACGATCTGTACGGACACACCGGACATTGGAACGGTTTCACTTTCAAATGAACAAATTGAATATGCCTTGTCCGCTGATTGTATGTAGAGAACACAGACTGACATAGATGACATGCATGTTCACGTTTTTTATCATGAACTTTTTGAAGATGCTTTGCTCTTTCATTGTATTCTTTAAATTTCTCATTACAATATGTGCACCTATACCTCAACTTGGGCTTGTGCACAGTCGACATGTGGGTCGCCCTTAGCTTAAGGTTCGCAAAAGTTTCACCGCATTTCGTGCACTTACAGCCTTCGCCTGTCAACTCGTGAGTAACCAAATGCGATTTGAGTCGAATCGCGCCAGAAAAAGTCTTGCCGCATTTATAGCATATATGATCCGTAGAATGATTGTTCATATGAGAATTCAGTTTGGTGAACAGATCGAAATGTACACCACATTGAGTGCAAATATACTCATCACCGTTGAGGTAAAACGGTGTGATACCTACGCCGTACTGCTTAACTATAGGCTTATTATGAACACTAATCAAATGCTCGACAAGTTCGTCCAGATCTTTAGCTTTCTGTGAACACAATTCACACTGAAGGTCCGAGACCTCAGCTTTAGTAGTATTGACGGGACGCGACAATCTAGGCGCTTCTTCCGTTTTAGAATGTTTGGCTACATGTTCTCTGAAGCCTTTAAAATCTCCAAATGATGTGGGACAGTAAGCACAAATAAATTGTCCCCATCTCCACCTAAATGGGCAAACGTTGGAACACTCTATAATTATAGCAGCGTTATCTCTGACATCGTTTAACTTGCGCCCAGTTTTCCACTTAACATTGCTATCCTTGGCTCCTAAAAACAAAAAGAAAATTCACTATTAAACCGTCGTAGTGTACTGGGTTCTTTTTACTTATTTGGAGCAGTATTTTAAATAGTAGTGCCTAATTTCCCATCATTAGTTATTGCCATGCGATGATTTATATAAAAATCAAGATCAGATGACCCCCATCGATGCTAGCTATGAATCAGAGGTACGGTATTTTTGGTGTAGCCAACAAAACGTTTATAACCGCAATGCAACGCAAAATCTTTACGTATAAGTTCAAAAAGGTGTAATAAGATTAAAAAAATACTTTATTTAAGTATCCATTTATTACATAAAAACCCTACAATCAGAATCCATAGTAAGTTGCAAAGAGTAAATATATTTTTACATACTAAAATAATCTCTTAATCAAACAATTTTATAAATAACAAATACTTCGCAGACTATTTTCGTGCACATTTTTTCTTAAACAATCCAGCTATTACGATTTTACGCAAAAGATTCGTTTGAAATCGAAACATTATAAGGTTCATCATTCAAGTCTTCATTCTATGCACGATTTTCATATGGGAATATCTTAATCCAGCACAACGAAAAACACACGAGCACAAATTACATTTATACTCTGCTTTTTGTCCATGAGTCTTATCCAAATGTTTCAAACGACCGTAATACGATGAGAATTGTTCATTGCAGATCGGACATCTGTATCTTTCCTTCGAACCATGAACTTTAGATACGTGTTGATCTCTCGCCACTCGACTCGACAACACTGTATCGCATTTGGGACACTGAAATTCACCAGATTCGTGATATTTTTGATGCGATTGCAATTTATGCTTACTCGAATATCCTTTGCCGCAAGTGTAACAAACGTAATCGGAGTAATGTTCATTCATATGCGAAAACAAAGCCATCAATGTCTCAAAGTATTTACTACAAGCAACGCAGGAATACTTTTCATTCGTCAGTACAAAAGGCACCAAACTAATATTATTAGAATTAAAAGTTTTATTGTGCATATCAGATAGATGTTTCTTCAGGACTTCTAAATTTTCAGTCTTCTCATTACAAATAATACAACAAAGGTCTGTTATATCAACACGTAGAGGAAATTTGTTTCGTACTTCTGGATTGTAATAAAATACATCGAGTTTGTTTTTATGGTCCTCAGAGTGAAGGCGAATTTCTTTGACGTTTGTATAGGTACATGGACAATAGGCACACATGAATTTTCCTCGATTCCATCTAAAAACAACAGTATTCGAATGTTCTAGAATAATTGCTGCATTAACATTCTCTTCGGCCAGCTTCCTTTTTCTGCTCCATTTAACATTATCGGTTGATGTACTTTGCGAGGCACTATTTTCTTCATCTCCTAAAAATAAAAATACTGTAAGTTTTTAGTTTCAACAATTCTTTGTGCAATATTGTGCTTGTCCGACCACATCGTGAGCTTGTAAATGGCGTTTGAGTTTCGATTGACTAACAAAGTGCCAAGGGCAATATAAACATTCGAATCGCTTCTCTATATTTTTGTGTGAGAGACGGAAATGTGCCGCGCGTTTGCAACTTGTTTCGAAAACTTTACCGCATGTTCTGCATTCGTAATCTCTCTTCTGCTGTGCGTGACTGTCGACCAAATGCTTAGCTCTAGCATAGTAGGTAGTAAAGACTTCAGGACAGCGCGGACAAGCGTACCGAACGCCACTCTTATGAACTTTTAATCTATGACACATACGAGCCGCTCTAGTTTGGAGAACCTCGTCACAATCCCCACAAGGAAAATTACCAATTTCATGTGACTGCACGTGCGTTCTGAACCTGGATTTGGAGACGAAAGCTTTACCGCAAGCGTCGCAAATATAATTTTGATAATGAGAATTCATGTGTTCATTTATTTTGGAGAAACTTGAGAAGTAATCAAAACATATTTGACAATTAAATCCTGTCTGATCTAGTTTAAAAGGAAGAACACCATCGCTATAATTCTTATTGAATGTCTTTTTATGTGCAATTGATAAATGAGTCTTAAGTATATCTATAGAGGAACAAACACAGTTACAAAGTGTACAATTTAAACTAGTTATGTCTATTTTGAGCATATTATTTTCTGTTAGTTTTGCAAATACACGTGGAGTTGGAGGATCATTTAAATGGGAGGTGATGACATGTTCACGTAAAGGCAGAGTATCAACAAATTTATCATCGCAATAGGAACAATAGAAAGCGCTATGGAACCATCGAAAGGCCCACGCGGTGGAACATTCTAGGATCGTCATCGCGTTCCTTCTCATCATAGTTTTGGCAATCCGTCTGTCAGACTCTTCGGGCAGTTGATTGTTAGCGCGCCGGCGCCTGCGCATCTGTCGTGCGCTTACGTTCTCTTTTAACTTCCTAACCGGCTTAACTACCTTGTTAGCCGTCCTGTCCGCAATAGCGGAACCTAAAAACAAAACGATTTCAAGTTACTAACTCGAATATACAACAACCCACCCCAGAGTAATGCATGCCTTATTACTTCTAATTACACCTAACAATCGTCTCATAATAAAAGATTTACTTTTATAAATATCGTTTGACGAAAAAAAATGAGATAGCTTAGTAATAAAGTTGGCAATGGGTACCGCATTTGCGATTACAACCTTCTATAATATTTTAATAAAAAATGAAAGGAAAATACATTGATTACATTGGCAGAAATTTATGTTGTAATCTTATTAGATCCGAGGGCATTCAGTTCGTTTAGATCCGGCTGATGTATGCTCGCGTGATCTACCAGTTGCGAGCGCTGCTTGAAGAGAGAGCCGCACAACTTGCAGGTCAGGTCCTCGTGGCTCCTAAGGTGCATTCGCAACGTCTTATTCCTCGGGTAGCTTTTACCACAGACTATGCAAGAGTAATTCCTTTCGCCGGTATGCTTGACCATGTGTTTCTTCAAGTCAGATTTATTTTTGAATAGCCAGTCGCAGTGAGCACAGGGAAAGGTCCGCTGCTGAGGTAGATGCACCGAGCGGACGTGCGCACCGCGTTTTGCACTCGTGCTGAATGTCAACTCACATACGTTACATTTGTATAAAACCAGCTTTTCCTTGTGAGCTTCGTTTAAATGGTTCATCCTGTGATAATAGGTTTTGAAGCGGATATTACAATGAGGACAACCGTAACGAGGTCCTTTAGCATGGGCCTGGGCTTTGTGATGATCTCTGGCTGCACGCATCGTGAAAACTCGCGCGCATTTGTCGCATGGAAAGGATCCTGTCACGTGGACCTCCGAGTGTTTCCTAAGGCGCATCGCCGTCATGTATCCCTTGCCACAGGTGGCGCAGATGTAATGCTGGTAGTGGACGTTCATATGCTCGTACAATTTGAGGAAATTGTTGAAAGGCTCTCGACAGATGACGCATCGCCAGTCCTCCTTATCCAATCTGAACGGTAGCACGCCGTCCGGCTGTGCGCTGTCTAAGTGGTAACCGTGTTGGATCGCATGTTGTCGCATATGGACGACGTTAGAATAAGAGCAACTACAAACACGACATGTAGCCTCAGACACGTCTACATTAATAAGGGACATTTCTTTATAGTTGCTATAAATATCTTTGAAGCTATGTTTGGGCGCGCACTCTGTAACGTGGGCTCTGAGCTCGGCGCACTGTAGGAAGCCTTCCTCGCAGTAGGCGCATTTGAATCGACTCCAATGCCACGTAAAAGGGCAAAGGGACCAACATTCTAATAGGGCTTTGGCGTTTCCCTTTGTAGCGATTCTAGCTTCCGCTCTCGCGCTCCTCGCGTAGCGTTGTTCATTGGATTTTAATTTAACATTACCTTTTCTTCCGACTTGTTCTTCACATCCTAAAAATAGAAAAGTTTCATTTGAACTTGCTGATTCCTTTAGTGTACCTCTTTAACAAGCCCGAATTATTTTGCGAATGTTTGACAAGTCTTAATTATACTTTTTTAGGATATACCTAGACATCTAACTATGACACTGTTGGACGACTCAAAAAACAGAATACGAGAGAAAATATCTTGTAGATTTTTGTGTTGTTCTAATTAATTCATCTTACATGTAACGATTTTCGTCAATTGAATTCATATGTTAATTTCATAAGTTTTTTAGCTAATGTATGAAACGTAGCGATATTTTAAGACCCCTTTCCAGTGTGAATATTTAATTAATCAAACAAATTCTTAGAAAATTATTTTATTTCTTAATTTTTTTCTATGTTTACTTAAATAAATAATACTTTTCGTGATATTTCATTCGTCAAATTTTACAAATAAATGCATTTCTGTACCCTATCGATTTTCAAGCTTCCAATAAAATACACAACATAATGAGACTAATGAAAATATGAATAAATAGATAATGAATAGATTATTCTCGGTCTTTTAACGTAATTTGTACATCTTACATACAAACCGTATGTTTCATTCAATATAGCAAATATTGACAAGAAACATACAAGTGATTTCAAATTGATTTAAGCAAATAAATTCATAAAAAAACAGCTTATAATAAAAACACTACGACTGTTGAACACCGAGTAAAATTGTATATATGAGAGAGACTAGAAGATATTAGATTTTAGTTATAAGAGAGCCATCATAAAAAATCCAGTTCACAATTTAGACAACTGAAATTCATCGTAATCATCAACCTGCCCTTATCTCTATTGAAGGTCGGCACAGTACGAGTATGTACTACTCCTCCATAAATCTCTATTAGCCGTCATATCCGAATCTATCCACTTCCAACGAATATCCTCTTTCACACAGTCATTCCATACTTTTTGGTCTTCCTCTACCTTTGTAGCCATCCACATTCAATCCCTCCGCATAACACGTCCAAACCACGCCATTCTTTTACTCCTTAATTTCTCGATCACAGGCGCTACTTTTAAACTTCCTCTAATAAACACATTTCTAACTTTATCCTTTTTTGTCACACCACACATCCATCTTAGCATAAGCATTTCAGCTACATACAATCTTCTTTCATCCCAAACCTTGGTAACCCAAGATTCAGATCCCAACAACTGAAGGCTATTCAAAACCTAACTATGAAAATGTTTCTGTGCCATATGTTTATCTAAAGATAACTTCGATGCGAACGCCCTAGAACAATGTGCACACGGGAATCCAAACTCTGTTTCCATTTTAGTCCGATGCGCTTTCACATTATGATGATATTTCTGGGATCTCGTTTTGAAAGCCATATGGCAAGTCGTGCATTCATACATCTCCGTCCTTGGCTTGAAATTATGAAATTCCATGAGATGTCTCTTACGTAATTCCCAAGTACCGAATCTGGGTTTATCTTTACAATACACACACATGTAAGGTAAGTTAGTATGTTGGGTTTTGACGTGCAAATTCCTCTCTTCTAGCGTAGTAAACGTTGCTATACATCGGCTGCATTTAAATTTATTATCATGTGGTATCCTCGTATGGGCAACTAGAGCGTTTTCAGTTATAAAACCTTCACCACATGTATCACAAACATAGTTGTGGTAATGTTCCGATGTGTGCTTCTTAAGGGATATAAAATTTGAAAACTGCATCTTACAAATAGCGCATTTCCAGGTGGAGCCGTCGTTCAGTTTGAACGGCAGCACACCCGGTTGTACATCAAAGTTCAGCGGTTGTTTGTGATCATTCTTGAGGTGTGTCATCAATTCATCAAGAGATTCTATCGCCATAAAGCACAGCTTACATTGAAGATCGGTGATATCAACTTTGAGAAAGTCCTTTCGTAATTTCCTACTAAAAACAAGTTGAATATCGAAGTTCGCGTGACGATTAGCCATATGAGTTCTTAGCCCAACTGGATCATTGGATTGAACTCTGCAGAATACACAATTGAAATTATGTCCCCAAGTTCGAAAAGGGCAAGCAGTCGAACACTGTAAGATAATTTCTGTATTGCTGCGATGTTTGAGCGCTTTACCGAAGCGTGGCTTATACGATGCTTTATTGCATTTGAAACTCTTTTCATGCTGTCGTAAACCCTGTTTGGACAGGAAGGTTGCTCCGCATTTATCGCAAGTTAATATTTTCACGTGACTTCTTAAATGGGCGTTGATTTGGGAGAACTCTGAGAAACTTTTGTAACAGTCTAAACACATCCAAAGTCCGGTAGTATCTTGACGGTAAGGAAGTACGCCGAAGGGTACATCAAAATTAACCGATATACCGTGATCTCTAGATATATGTGTCATGAACGTATCAACATTCGCCATATCAACCGAGCAAAGGTTACATTTGAATTGGGTTATATCTACTTTAAGATCGTCTACAACTTTGTAGAAGGCACTATTGAAGTCTGCATTCGAATGATCGGCCGTAACGTGTTCGCGGAGTATTGTCATGTTTTGAAACTCCTCGTGACAATAGGAGCAAATAATTCTGTTAAAACGTGTCTTAAAAGGGAACGCGGTTGAATGCTTCAATATCAGCACGGCGTTTTGCCGCACCGGATTCTGGTTGACGGACCTTTCAAACAGTCTTTTTGGTTTACTCTCTTTCTTTAATCCATCGAGTTCCTTTCTGGTCCCTAAAAAAGAAAAGAACTGTGTCATTATTTTGTTTCGATCTAGCCGATTCTTTAATGGCACAAATAGATACGTCAACCTACTTGAAGAGAACAAAAATTTAATTTGAATTTTGACTCGAACAAATAACATGCAAACGATTTGAACACATGTCCATCATTAAAATACGGCAAGATCGAAACAAAAGCGATGGACTTAACGAAACTCCCTATTCATATCGTAGCTTCATTAATCGATTTAAAAACGTAACCGAGGATATGTCTATAAATGAAAATATAAAATGCATAGTTTAGTTTTATTAAAAGAGAAGTGATATGTTTATAGAAATAGGTGTGAGAATTTACTAAATTAATTCTGGATGATGTGATTTCATATGTCCATTCCAGCTGACTTTCTGAGCAAACTGTTTGTCACAAATGGAACACGCAAATCTCTTAGTCTCGCTGTGTATCCACATGTGTTGAGCCAGACTCTTCTTCCTCGTAAACAATTTCTTGCATACCGCGCATTCGTAAGGTTTCTCGCCTGTATGTACGCGTCTATGATCCTCCAGTTGCTGCTTGGATCCACATTTTACTCCACAGCAAGAGCAGACATTAGCATCTGTATGTTTCATCGCGAAATGAGTATAGAAAACTTTCCGATTATCATAAACTTCCCCACATTCGGGACACGTGTACGTCGACTTAGGTCGACCGTGCTCCTCTGTCGTGTGCTTCTGTTTCGCTTCCGAAGACATGAAACGTTCATTGCAGACCATACAAACATATCTCCAGCAGGATTTTGATAATCTCATATGCTCGCGTTTCATTTCCATTGTAGGAAACTCCTGCCAACATTTCCTGCATTGAGGTTTCTCCGAGTGACTGGTGCGTATGTGGTAAGTTAGTGCTTCACGTGTTAGATAACTTCTGCCACAGTTTTCACATGTAAACTTCTGATAATGAGAGTTCGTGTGCCGACATAACGTGATTAACGATGGAAAGCGCATTTTACACAAATAGCAGTTCCAACTGTCTTTGTCTATCTTATATGGTTGGAGACCGACTTCGTATTTCGTATCTAATTTGTTTGTCGGATGGCAAAGATCTATATGTTTCACAATTTCATTTAAATTGTCAAATGGTCGATTACAGAGTCTACATTTCAAATTGGTACAATCTACTTTTAAATGCCTGAAGTTGCCCTTGCCGCAGTGTGCGAATGCTACCGTTAGAGAGAATGTTTGATGCATCTCATCCATGTGCTTTCTGTACAGCGCCGGGTCGGTGTACTCTTCGCAGCAGTAGACACAAAGTAAATGCTTCCCATGCAGCCTGAACGGATATACTGTCGAGTACTCTAACACAACTGCGGCGTTCCGTTTCGCCTTCTGTGCGTTGCTCTCCGTTACTGTTTCTAGAAAAAGAAAAAACTACCGTGACTAGCAGATCTCCATCTTTTGATACTTATTTAGTTTTTATACTTATTTGTCGTTCCAAAGTATTTGAACACGACTTTTAAGGAGATTTTATAAGTATTCGACGCCTTTTCAGCGATATTTTTCTCTCTGCATTTGTAAAGCCGTCTTGTCACGAGTAGAGGTTTCAATATGTTTATATATAATTTTATATAGAACGTGTATTTACTCTTCTTTAGTAATTTTGACAAAACATTTCATTGGACCGCAATGTTATATTACCAATAATGAGTTCATAAAACAAAACTTCTCAGTTCAAACCACGATAGATTTAATTTTTCATACATTATCATCAAACATTCAAAGACCTGATTGAACAAATGCAATAGAAATAAAAAGGTTAAATAACTGCACTAAAAATTAGAAGCCTAGTCACACAGACTTACCGTGGATTTCTGAGACGAAAATCCCCGCTTGTCATGCCACATGTCATCTAGGTTTTGTCAAAGATGACATACAGGAATGACAATATATTATATTGAGATTTAAGTCTTAAAAACCAAAGGTTAGACAGTGTTTCAAAAACATTTTCACCTCAAATATATGACAACCACATCGCACGCTGATATTAGAAATTACCAGAAATCGCAATTATTGAAATTATGTAGGCCTCCGAAATGCCATCTAGACAAATAAATAACAAAGTACTCGATAAGCAGTTTTGGTTACACTTATTCAAGGGCAAAACATACTCTTTTACACGTTAACGTCACTGGCAGTCAAAAGGTTAAAATACGTGTTTAACTAAACAGTGTCTAACTGTATCAGCTCAGTATACGTCCCCACTGAGGGGCTCGAAGCCTACCCTAAATTAGGTGACTAGGTCATAGTCATTGCTAGCCCAATACAGGTTGACTTCACACATATCTTTGAACTTTTTCGCAGATATGTGGAGCATCACGATGTTTTCCTTCACCGTAACATCGGATAAATGTACATATGTAAATCGAAAAACACAACCCTAACTGTATATAATTCAGAAGAATATAATAAAGATACCGTAGACGGCCAACTCTATCTCTACGAATGTCATACCTTTTAGACATTATTAGTTAGAATCCTTTGGCGTGAATGACGTGCTTTCATTACAAAGTCAAGTGACAGATTAGTAAGAGGATATAAACGTCGACATTTTAGTAACGCTAGGATTGCGCCAGTACACCGGTACTGTCTCGGATTTTCTTCCTAAAATATCAAAGTAAAACACCAAATAAATTTATAACTATTATATTTTGAACAAAAAATTATATAATAAAAGTAAAGTTTAAAACACAACAAGGTAAATTAAATATACGTTTCTTCACATACCAAAATTAAATTTGTTAATATCAATATTATACAAACTAACGTTTAAAACTAAAAATTTCCCCAAGCCCTTGGTGCTTTAAAAATAAAATAATAAGAAATTACATATCTTAAAAAGTTTATTTCTAGAAGAGACATAAAAGTCTTCCTTTATTATGTCTCATCATGAGCTCACTATACGTCCCCACTGAGGGGCTCAAAGCCTACCCTAAGTTAGGGGTGATTAGGTCATAGTCAACCACGCTGGCCAAGTGCGGGTTGGTTGACTTCACACATATCTTTGAATTTCTTCTCAGATATGTCCAGGATCACGATGTTTTCCTTCACCGTAAGAACATAGGATAAATGTACGTATGTAAATCGGAAATGGAAAAACACATTGGTACATGGCGGGATATGAACCCAGGACCTGCAGGTTGCAAGTCAATTGCTTGACCCCTGAGAGACACCGACGCTCTTATTATGCATAACATTTTTATAATCTGAGACCAATGTATCTGTATAAAACGTATCGTCAACCTTCTCGTCACTGACAAAAAAGACAGCAACGTGTTTTAAACCGGGATTTTGGTCTCAGAAACCCACTGTAAGTCATAGATATATTATCTCTAGATGGAGTGTTTCATGCCAATATAATGAAAGTAAACATCAACCTTAGTTAAAAACTAGCTGTCACCCGCGGCTCCCTCCGCGCTGTGTTAAAAAAAAAATTGTAGCTTATGTGTTCTTCCAGATTATGTTCTAGAATAATGCCAAAATTCCATCTATCCATCTAATCATTCGCATCTTTATAATATAAAAGAAAATCTTTTTAGTTACACTATTTATAACTCAAGAACGGCTTTACCGATATGCCTGAAAATTGGTGAGGAGGTAGCTTAGAGCCAGGAGACGGACATAGGATACTATTTATTCATTTTTATTATAATTTTTTCGAATGTATGCCTTAAAGAGCTGCATTTTATTTTAACTTATCTATATATTACGTTTTTTATATATCCACGCGGACGGAGTCGCGGGCGACAGCTAGTTTATAATATTAGTAACATTGTAAAGTATATGATAACCCTGAGGGAAATAAGACCTCCGAGGTCCTTTTGTGCTCCATCTAGAGATATAAATCTATGTTCCAAGTATACTAAAATCGATGAAATAATTTGTTACAATTAAAAATTTATTTCCTATCTAACAATAAATTCACGTATCCGTCTTTAAAAGACTAACCATTAGTTTGATATTTTTGTTCGTTTCAAAATTGACGAGATCTGGATGGTATGACTTCATATGCGTCTTCCAACTAACTCTTTGATTAAATTGTTTATTACACAAATCGCAACCGAATCTCTTCTGTTCACTATGTATCCACATGTGTTGCACCAAATTCTTCTTTCTCGGAAAAGATTTCGAACAAACGGTACAATGGAATAGTTTCTCTTTAGTATGTACAACTCTGTGTTCTTCCAAATTACGTTTTGTAGCGAATTTCAACCCACAACACGAGCACACATAATTATCATCAGTGTGTGATATTTTAAAATGTACCCTATATTTTTTCCTATCTAAAAATGTTTCCCCACATTCAAGGCATACATGGGACCTTTTTGGTGTTCCGTGAACTTGTGCTAAATGCGCCTGTTTTAATGTCCAAGAGATGAATCTTTCACCGCAAACATTGCACAAATGGGACCAACATTTTGGTGTATCTACCAAATGTTGTCGTTTCGCTTCCAAGCTACTGAATGTCTTTTTACATTTCCTACAAATACGCGCTTCACCTGTATGCGAGTAAGTTATATGGTGTTTTAAAGTCGTACTAGTCGCGTAAGATTTACCACAAGCGTCGCATGTATATTTCAAAAAATGCGTTTGTATATGCCTACTTAATTGTCTGATACAGGGTGATTTCAATTTACATATTGCACATAAAAGACGATCCTTTTCTAGTTTGAAGGGATATACGCCTATTTCATAATTCGTATCAACTTTCTCTTGATGCACATCTTTCAAATGCTTTGCTACATCAATGATTGTATCGAAGCTTAGCAAACAGATGCGACATCGCAGTTCTGTGCAATCAACCTTTATATAACCTTCATTACAATGAACGAAAGCCATTCTGACATGGAACGTTTGATGTTCTATATCCATGTGCTTTCTATATTCCATAGGATCGTCACAACTCTCACCGCAGTAAACGCACACCATTGCATCTTCAGGAAGCCTGAACGGGTAAGCTGT